TAATATGAAAAAAAAAATTAAGTGTAGAATGACAACTAATATGAAACAGAAGAAGTAGAAACTTATTCAACACTAACTGATTTAAACCGTTCCATTTTTTTTTTTTTTTGGTCACATATTTAAACCGTTCGATTAGTTTCGATAAAATACAGATTCGCGAGAAAACATTCTCTACCAAAATTTCTTTCAATTGAAAGATCCAATTTTCAAGTTGCTTCATAGTGATACACCATCAGTCCGAATCCGAATGACATGATTCATCTCTCAAAATATCGTTGCACGTGGGCTGTCTCGTTGTCTATTCACTGTTCACTTTACCAATCATAGTATCGTTGATTTTATGAATAACGGTTAATTGAAAATGTACTTTAACAAAAAAAGGTTAATTGAAAATGTAATCTGTATAAAAAGACATACGGCACGAACCAAAAACACGGGGGAACCTCAGGCTCTAACAAATGCATTCACATACACAATAAAAATATGATGTATGATAATCAATTATGATACAAGTTATAAAAACAATAATCTACTAATCAAACACTAGACCACATTCACAAGAGTTTATATATTTTAGCAAAAAAAAGAGTTTATATAGCAAATTGAAGTTTCACATATGAAAACAAATAAATCGTGTGTTTTCTCATTTCATCAAAATATAAAAAGTTAATTCACTAATTTTATTTTATTTTGCAAAAATAGTCTACGAATTCGATCATTATAAATTACTAGTATTACTTTTTGGTTAAACCTTCTGTATAAGAGAAGGAACTTATAACGAGGCAGTCCCAGCCAAAGAAAAAGAGATCAATGTAATAATAATTAGCGTAGTTTACGATGAAGAAAGGGTTCAAACTACAAAAAACGATAGATATATGTATAATATATACCCTATCCTTATGGCTGCACCTATGGTCTAACTGCCACATTAATAGAGTATATTCTTAATACACATATTTCACAATAAATCTATCTTATACTCCATCTATTTCAAAATATAAATTGTTTTAATATTAAAAAACTATTTTTCTACTTAAAAATACTTTCTCTATTCCATTATATAAAAAATTTTAGATTTTTTATTTTGTTCCATTTTATTTGATTATTTCCACTTCCTACGCAATATTTAATGTATTGGAGCTATTATATTATGTAGTATTGTTTTTTATTGGTTCGTTTGTTTTTAATTAGATATTAAATAATATTTTTAATGTAAAAAGACAAAATAAAAATAAAAATTTATGTCATTCTTAAACTTCGTGTTTTTATCCAAAAAAACATATATATTGGGATAGAAAGAATATTATTTAATATATTTAATAAAAATAATTTGACCAATCATACAAAAGACTGCAAAATACTATTGGTCCCACAATCTTTAATAAAGTTAAAAGTATATAGGACTTTTAAAACAACTTATATTTTGAAACAAAAAAAAAAAACTTCCAAAATAACTTACATTTTGAAACGGAGAGAGTATAATTTTTGAATGGTGACGATTTGAACCGCCCCGTCCCACACTGAACAATTCCAAAA